CGCCTCTAGACAGCCATTGGCTCCTTACATTGAGCCAGATTTGGTTCTGATTGGTCAGTTTCTATGCCAGTCAGCATGTCTGGGCCTATCAACGAGGCCTCATCAGAAAGGCGGGGCTGATCAGCAGTCCCGGTGGAGGCCTGGGGAGAATGGGGGTCCCGTTGACCAGGCCAGGAAAGAAAGAGGCAAGTTCTGATCGGCTGCCACAGAGGCTATGGATCAGACCCTGCCTCTCTCTAGGCCTGATCTGCAGCCTCCTAGGCAGTAAGTGCTGTGTCCAGGTTCCAGCAGCAGCAGCCCCAGTCAGTGCTAGGTCGCCATAGCAACCCAGCATTGTCTTCTGGTCTGGTTGAGCCTTTGGTCATAAAGGTTGTGACAACACTGGCTCTTTAATATATATGGCGGAGGTTGGCGGGGAGGGGGAAGAAAGCTTTCAGTTGTATACTTTCTTGCTGACCAAATTCCATATCCTCATTCCCCCTCTAATCTTCTCATGTCCTAGTCCCCTACAGGGTATCGGCTTGCTCTCTGCTCCTTCCAACAGCCCTATTCCATGCTCCCGCTTCCCCTTATGTTATTTCTTCTAAGGGAAGGACTCTCCTCTTTATGCCTTATATCATTGCTTCTGTTATTGTAGTACTCTTTGATTATTTTACTGCTTGTCCTTTCATCACAGACTAGGTTAGGTAGTGACTGTATTTCCTATCATCTTTAAACTCCATATAGTGCCTAACACCATGCTTTGTGTGCAACAGGTATTCACAAACATTTCTGAGTTTGATTATTGCATTACATTTTCCCTCTTTCTTGTGTGTGTGTGTGTGTGTGTGTGTGTGTGTGTGGTAAAGTATATACCATAAAATTAACCATTTTTTAAGTGTACAGTTGTGTAAAGAAGTTCATTTACATTGCTGTTCAACAGTAATTTTTAAGTGTACAGTTGTGTAAAGAAGTCCATTTACATTGCTGTACAACAGTCACACTGTCCATCAAAGGATGCTTTCATTTTCTCCGACTGAAACTCTGCACATTAAGCACTGACTCCTCATTCCCTCCACCCCGGAAACCACCACTGTACTCTCTGTCTCTGTGCATTTTACTGTTTTACGAACCTCTTGAGTTGCAAGGTTTATCTGTGTTGTTGCATGATTGTGAATAATGCTGCTATAAACATGAGTGTACAAATATGTATTCTAGTTCCTGCTTTCACTTTTTTTGGGTATATATACAGAAGTAGGATTGCTGGATCATATGGTAATTCTGTGTTTAATTTTCTAAAGAATTACCATACTGTTTTTCATAGCAGCTGTACCATTTTACATCTTCACCAGCAACGTGTGAGGATTCCAATTGTCCTACATCCTTCCACCACTTGCTTTTTTTAAAAAAAATTTGTTTTTTAACAATAACCATACTAACGGCTGTGAGTGGTATCTCATAGTTTTTGTGTGTGTCTTATTTATTTATTTATGTTCTTTTTACTTTTTCTTTATTGATTAAGGTATTACATATGTGTCCTTATCCCCCCTTTGTCCTCCCAGCCCTCTTCACCCCCAGCTCCTGCCCTCACTCATTTAGTGTCTTGTCCATTGGATACAAGTCCTTTAGTCGATCTCTTCCCTTTTCCCCTACCCTCTCCTGCCTTCCCTCTGAGGTTTGATGGTCTAATCGATGATTCTCTGTCTCTGGGTCTGTTTTTGTTCACCAGTTTATGTTGTTCATTATATTCCACAAATGAGTGAAATCATGAGATATTTATCTTTCTCTGTCTGGCGTATTTCACTTAGCATAATGCTCTCCAGGTCATAGCATTTCCCTAATGATTAAATGCTGAGTGTCTTTTCATGTGTTTATTGGCCACTTGTATATCTTTGGAGAAATATCTGAGTTCCATGCTCATTTTTTAATTGAATTGTTTATTTTTATTGTTGTTGAACTTTAAGAGTTCTCTATATATGCTGAGTATTAATCCATTTGCAAATATTTCCTTCCACTGTGAATTACCTTTTTTCTCTGCTCATAGTTCTTTGATGCACAAATGTTTTAAATTTTTAAAAAATTGTTGATGTTCCCCATTATACCCACCTTACCCAGCCCCTGCCTCTCCGCCCTCTGGCCTTCACCACACTGTTGTCTGAGTCCATGGGCTGTGTATGTATGTTCTTTGGCTAATCTCTATCCTGTCTCACACAGTGCCCTCCCCTCTGGAATCTATCAGTCTGTTTCATGTATCCATGCCTCTGGCCCTATTTTGTTTACTAGTTTATTTTGTTCATTAGACTCCATACATAAGTGAGATCATGTGATGTTTGTCTTTCTCTGACTGGCTTATCTCCAGGTCCATCTATGCTGTTGCAAAAGGGTAAGAATTCCTTCTTTCCAGCGGTGTAGTATTCTGTTGTGTAAATGTACCATAACTTCTTTATCCACTCATCTACCGATGGGTATGGGCTGTTGCCAGATCTTAGCTATTGTAAATAATGCTGCTATGAACATAGGGGTGCATATACTAGTATTCTTTTTGATTGTTATTTCAGGAGTCTTAAAATATATTTCCAGAAGTGGGATTGCTGGGTTTGACGCAGTCCAATTTATCTATTTTTTGTTGTTGCCTGGAATTTTGGTGTCATATCCAAGATATCATTGTGAAATTCAGTGTCATGATACTTTCCCCCTACATTTTCTGCTAAGAGTTTTATAGTTTTAGCTCTTGTGGTTAGACCATTAACATATGTTGAATTTTTTATATGGATGGTATAATGTAATTGTCTAAATTCATTTTTATTGTAGTCTTTCTAGCACCATTTATCGAAAAGACTGTGTTTTCTCTACTGAATAGCTTTTTTCAAATTCATATTTGGTTGAATAATCTTCAACTTTATTGACTGACACAGGTGTGATTGTAGCAAGCTTTAAGATGTTCCTTCTCACTGTCTTGTCTAAAGGCTTAAAACTTGCTTGTGCTTTCTTACCCACTTGGGAATAAGACAAGGACCTGGAAAACCTATAAGTTGAAAACAGAATCATCATTTATCATCTCTTTATCCTCTTGGTAGCTGTTCGTTTAGTTTTAGTAACCTGCTTTTGTGCTTTTCCTTCTTCTTGAGGCACAGTAGATGTGTTAGGATGCTTTGCTAATTTTTTTAATGAAGGCTCTTTTGTAGGTCAAATATTGTTTTTAAGTCACTTAGTCCCCCTTTGGGCTTTTGGTTTCTTTTCTGTTAAATGACAAAATTGAGCTAAATGATCTGTCATATATTTTTATTGATTTCAGAGAGGAAGGGAGAGGGAGATAGAGACAGAAACATCAATGATTAGAGAGAATAATTGATTGGCTGACTGTGTCCTGCATGCCCCCCACTGGAGATTGAGCCTGCAACCTCTGGGCCTGTGCCTTTGACTGGAATTGAACTTGGGACCCTTCAGTCTGCAGGCCAATGCTCTATTTACTGAGCCAAATCAACTAGGGCTGTCATATATCTTTTACAGTGCAAATTCTGTGATTCTAAGAACTTACGGTGACTTTTGAACAATTAATAAAAATCCAGTGGAAAGTAGAACAATTTTATTATATCAAAGGAATATATTAAAATTAGTATTTCCCCAAATAGTTTATTTTTGTTGGCAGTTTTTATGTCTTCTCCATATATAAACAGAAGTAAACATAGGTATGGTTAGTTTCTTTCAGTGGTAAAAACTTTGTTTCGAAGTATTCCTGTGGTTTGTAGTATCACCATTTTAATTTTCTTTATGCATTAATGAGAAGGGAGAAAAGTTCATGTACATGAAATTTGTTTGCACACGAAGAGAGAAGACCAGTGAAAGCCAGGTGAAAAATTGAATATAGAACAGAAACATACTTGTCCTCTGCAGAGTTAGAGAATTCTGTAGTCGTTAAGGGAGTTTTTACATGCTTCACCCAAACACATCTTTGTGAGGCCCAAGTTTGGAGGCTGCCCGTGTGTATATTAAGATCGCCAAAAAGTCATTTTTCCTCATCTCACATGTTTTGATTGTGTAATTATATAAGCTTGCCTATTAAATGACAATTAGTTATAATTTGGCTAAATTAATGCTGCTTTGTAAAAAGTTTGTCATTACCATGTTTGCTTCTTGTCTTTTTTTGTATAATGTGGAAATGACGATGATAGCTAGTACTTATTGAGTGCTTGATACATTTGGTTTAAATTTATTACTGTTTTCATATCTTTAATAACCTTTCAAAGGAAATGATGTTTTAGTAATGGTATTTTATCAGGAACAATTCTAGGTGCCCAGAAAAGTTAATTCATTGCATACAGTGATTTGCTAAGAACATTAGGGATTAATTCTCCGGGTTGAAAAAGGGTGACTGGATAGCGGAGAGGACAGCGATTACAGGGAGGATTTTTAGAGCTTTTGAACTGTGAACGTTCTGCATGTATTATCATTAGTACTAAGTTACTAATACTAAATTAAATCTTTAGTAATAAATCAAAGTGGTATATTAGCTTTAAAACTTTTCATTTGGAATCCTGATATATATACTTAGAAAGAGGAAAGTATTGCCTCTATTAAGTATGATTTCAAATAACAGCAATAAATATTCTGGATTGCAGAAGCAAATTGGACTGCAGTGATATTTATATAAAACTGAAATGGGAACTAAATCTGGCATGCAATAGCAAAATTGGGGGATTTATCTATTTAACTAGAGAATGTCCTTAGTTTGGTAAAAGGGTTAGAAATGCAATCTTCTTTGGAGACTGATTAAAAATAATAGATAAAATAAAGAATGATGTGCTCAATAAGCTGCAACTCAAATAGAGGAAATTTAATGGGAAATGATTACATTAGTAGCAGATGGATTTGCTTCCTGAATTGTAATCTTACTGGAAATCCTAGAACCACTTAACTGTGTTTTTCAGATTTAGAGTGTGATAGAAAGATAGATGAAGAGATTTATTTGGTGTGTTATTGTGATTCTTACTGTGTCTTTTGGATATTTCATTTTTTACTAGGCTATTTTTATGATTCCCACAAATCCACCACCAACATTCAGGAAGCCAGAACTCTGGTCTGATGATTTCACCGATTTTGTTAAAAAGTGCCTAGTGAAGAATCCTGAGCAGAGAGCTACTGCAACACAGCTTTTACAGGTCAGTGCTTATGCCACCAAGGGAGGAATGTTTTCTTTATATCTTTTATCTTTATGACGTTAAGTAAGAATGCCTTGAGTTTCCTTAACTGATTTCTAAAGACATAAACCTCCCAGGAAATGTGGATTGATACACATCCATCCTTACACCTCCATCCACCATCTCCATCTCCATTCTTCTCTATGTTCTCGGTGTCTCATTTTCTTCTTTTCTTTTTCAAGTTAGTGTTCTCTTTTCCCTTTTTTTTTTTTTTTTTCCTTTTTGTTGTTGTTAATACTGTCAACTATTTTCCCCTAAAGTTGCTTTAAAACAAAACTTCCCAGATTCTCCTTTCAGAACCATATCTCCTCCATCATTAGTTTATTATATTTTTCCCTGATGTTTTCTTTGACCCAGCATTCTTCTTTGACCTGCTTTACTTTAAGCAGGAGTGGAATCGAAACTTAACTTTTTTGTTGAGTGCTGTTTTTGAGCCTGTTGAGTTTTTTGTTATGTGCAAAGATCCCTGAACTCTTTGAAAAGATCACTTGTAAATATTGGTTACAAAATTACCTAAATGAAGAGTTTGAGTATCTTGCTACAAATAGACTTTATTTAGAGTATCAGGTCATAATTTTTTTTAAAAAATTTGCCTTAAAATTCAGTGCAAATAGAAATAATGTAACACTTTCAATAAGTATTTGTGAGTCTTCATTTTCCCCAACAGAATTGGCTCAGACTAAGCTATTAATAAATGTGTCTCACATTAATAAAACTTGGTATTTGGAAAATAATTGTGTTTATTGAATCACAAAAGGATTCAAAGTATGGTTCTTTTAAAAACCATACTTTGAATCCTTTTGTGATTCAATAAATACAATTATTTATTATATTTCTAAAGTACTGTTTAAACAAAAGTATTTGTTGGAAGAGTATAAGAAACAGGCTATGTAAGTACAGTATGTTTATTGCTATGAAAATTAAACTTAGTATTCATTCTTCATTTAAGGCAATTTAGCATTATCTACCTAAAGTAAAATGTTAAATATTCTTTGACCCAGTAATTACACTTATAGAAATTTACTTTATAGAAAAATTTAACCATGTGTGAAATAACATGTGTAAAAATATTCATAGAACATTATAATGGCAAAAGATTGGAAACAAAAAAACTTTCAACAAATTGGAAATTTAAGCTCATTGAGATGAGTGATTGGCAAAATACACACAGGCATGTTTACATGTATGTATATGTGCATATGCCAGTGGTTATGGTGGAGTGGCCAAGAAACTGGCCTCCAGAGAAGGTAACTATGGCTGAGAAGCAGGAGTGGAATAGAAACTTAACTTTTTTGTTGAGTGCTGTTTTTGAACCTTTTGAGTTTTTTGTTATGTGCAAATAGTACCTTTCAAAAATTAATTAACTGAAACATTTATTTTGAAATATTGTCATATATCCAAGGATTTTTTGTGCCCATAAATCAAAGACCTATTAGTATTATTATCATGTTGAGTATCTAAATTATTAAATTCCGAGGAAAACAAGAAAGGAGAAAAACACACACAGGAAAGTGAGTCAGATAGCATAAAGTATGATGGCGGAGGTAAATTTAAATGTATCTGATAGCTGATTTTTGGATAGTTTAACCAGAATTTCTTTCTGGTCTTTCTCCCATAACCTTTTCTAATATTTCTAAGAAAATAAATTCTGTTGTTTTTAACTTAGAGTTTTTAACTTAGAGTTTTTAACTTAGTGTATAATCCTTCTTAAGAGTACTTTCATCAGGTTCACTTTTCTCCATTGTAACGTCTATTTTTTTAATCCAAGTTCTTAATTATTCACCCTTTTATTATTACAGTTCCCCCTCCCCCTCTTTTCCTCTTCCTTCCCTTCTCCCTCTTTTCCTCTCCCTCTCCCTCTCCCTCTCCCTCTCCCTCTCCCTCTCCCTCTCCCTCTCCCCCTCCCCCTCCCCCTCCCCCTCGTCACTACAAACAACTGAGCTATACCAGCCAGGGCTCCCTCACTCTATTTTGTTTCTATATTTTACTGCAGGATTATGCTGTCAAAGACATTCTTTTCCTTATATTATTCTCTTGTTTCTATAATTAAAATGGCTCTCAAACATAATTTAAGCATCTCATCCCAAGCATGTATGCTTCCTGCCCCACTGTTGCTTGTATCTAAATTCACATAACACCATTTCTCTAAATAATGTTTCTGTCTTGACAAGGCAGATCTTCCTACTGTGTTCTAACATATATTCCCTATTTGTGTGTGTTTGTGCATGTTATTCATATTCTCCTCCTCTTCCTCCCTAAAAGGATCTGTTTCTTTTGAGGCATCTGAGATTGCCTACCTACTCATCTCTTAATTGTATAAGCTGTGTTAAACCATCATAAAGGTAACTTGTATGTCATATTTCAATATTTTTGTATGTGTTTGTGTCTTATTCCTTATTCTAGATAAGTTTCTTAAGGGCCAAGAACATATCTTCAGGGGTGTGTGTGTGTGTGTGTGTGTGTGTGTGTGTGTGTGACCTTCCATCAGTGTTTCGCAAACATTTTCAGTGTAGGGCTGGAGTTCCTTCCTCGTTGTCCCACCATTCTCTAGGGCACTGTGTTTGTCTGCTCTCCAGCTTGGCCGAAAGGGGGGAAGTCACGGAAGAGTGCACACAGTGTTTTAAGGCCCAGGTCAGGAAGTGGCGCACAACACAAAGACTTCCATTCCGTATTGTTCCATTTGTTCCATTCCATTCCATTGACAGAACCCAGTCTCCTAGCCACAGCCAGCTGAGTGGGGGACTAAGAAAGGTAGGATCTAGCTGGGCTACCAGACACCTAGCCACAACTCTATTTTAGTGGAACCAAGAGTCTACCACAGCTATGTTAATGGAACTTAAGTTACCTGGTGATAAATCTATAACTGTTATAAAATAATTTATTGGTTCTTTGCTATTGATTCTATTATTTCTGTAATCTGGTCAATTCTTACTCATACTTTCCTCAAATGATATATGTTCACCATTTTAAAGCCTCTTCCAAATATCTATAATTTCTTCTTTAGCACTAAAATTGTTTGTGTTCTTTATTAAAATAACTCAGCTCTTACCTGGGTCTATTTACTGACAGAATAAAAATTATGTTTTGAAGCTGTATTGCCTCCAAATAAGGTCATCTTTCCCAATGATACTTTTAATCTTACCATGTACTTCTCTCACAGTCTTCCTTCTCAATAAAAAATCATCAAAAATCCAGGTCTGTTCTGGTGGTTTGTGTTCTGTTTACCAGATTTGTAACAGACTCAGATATTTTTGTTAAATTAGGATATAATTTTAAAAAAGTGAAAAGTTGTTTTTTATATATTATATATATAGAGCAATATTCATTTTCTGAAAAAAATTTATTGCCATTTTTTTTTTCTCCATTGGAAATGATTACATTTTCAAGACCTAATATACAGGTAATATGTAAAAGAAGTAAGAAAATAGTTATCTTCTTTTGACTACTGATTCTGGCTATCAGCTTGTTAAGGTTAATTAAAATCTGTAACTAATACATAATTTTATTTTTATATGTAATGTAATCATCAATCCTTTTAAAAAAATTTATCTTTTTTCCAACCTACTCTAAACTGCCTTTGGATAATTATATATATAAGGTAGCTTTCATTAATGTAGTTTTTTATTAACAGAATTGCATATTTGTGTTTGCGCTTTAATGGTTTTTAAAAACAAGTAAACTGAAAAGCAAAATATTTATTTCTAAAGCAGCTCACATGTTATCTATTTTTTAAAGTTTTTTTGGTTAATCCTGACCCAAGAATATTTTTTCCATTCATTTTGAGAGAGAGAGTTGGAAGGAAGAGGGTGGAAGGAGTGTGGTGAGAAGAGAGAGAGATGTGAGAGAGACACATCGATCAGTTGCCTCCCACATGCACCCCAACCGGGGTGTGGGATCAAACCTGCAACCCAGGAAAAGCCCTTGACTGGAAATTGAAACGGCAGCCCTTTGGCATGCAGGCTGGTGCTATAACCATTGTACTACACCGGTCAGGGCAATATTCTCTACTCTTTTTAAAATATATGTATTTTTTATTGATTTTGGAGAGGAAGGGAAAGGTAAGAGAGGTAGAAATATCAGTAACAAGAGAGGATCATTGATTGGTTGCCTCCTGCATGCCCCTATCCCCCCGCCTCCTAGGCAATCGGGCCTGCAACCCAGGCATGCACCCTTGACTGGAATCGAACATAGGACCTTTCCCACTGAGCAAAACCAGCTAGGCAACATTCTGTATTCTTGACCTATACATTTAATTCTATATGAAGTACAACCACAGCGGGATGGTTGTACTTGAAGATCCTGGTTTGTGTTTATTTACGTCTTTTAACATTTTTTAGATATAATTCAGATAAATCTTTTAAAATTATATCTTTGAATCTTCTCTAGCATCCATTTATCAAGAATGCAAAGCCTGTATCGATTTTAAGAGACTTGATTGCAGAAGCTATGGAAATCAAAGCTAAAAGACATGAAGAACAGCAGCGAGAATTGGAAGAGGAGGAAGAAAATTCGGTTCGTAATTACCCTCAAAAAATTGATTTCTTTTCTTCTCAGTCATTTTCTATAATTTTTTCTTCATATCAATAGCAATTACTATTTCATTATACAAATGAGGTACTCTTCATTAAATCTCAAAATATATTTAGTTTGCATTAAATATTATCTTTTTCTTATATCTTAAGAATTAGTGATTAGTGGCATGTAAGGTCTGCACAGTAGCTAGGAGTGCCGCACTAGAAGATGGGTCACTAGAGAAAGCAGGAGGAACATTTAAGGTTCTAGTTTCTTCCATTAACACTGCATTTTAAAAACAAAACTGGAGAGGAAAAATTAGGATTTTTACTTTTGTTTTAATATTCCTTTTTAATACTTTATGCTCACTTTTCAGTCAAGTATTTATTAGTACTTTTCAAAGTAAACAACGTTGTCCTAGCAGTTGCACAATTTCTGATAAGGTTATGTCCTCAGTAAAGTCTAGTCATCATCCCGCTGTGGTTGTACTCAACTGTCTTTTCTTAACTCTTTGAGCTTCATATGAGAGTGCTGGGCTGGTGAACAGCTTTTAACTAGCTGTCAGTGGGCAGGTGATTATTTTTTGCTTTGCTCTTATCTTTAAATACTTAATTATAGGTTGGTTTCTATTTTTGATGAATAGGGAATCATTGGCTGTGCTAGAATTCATCAGTTTTTACTAGTTTTTAAGACCTTGCTGTAGCCACTTTGTTACTTTCTGCTACTTTGGTGATATATTTTTCACTATTTTCTTCTCCATCACTGAGCTCCAGCTATGTTAATCTTATTTCAGATTTCTTTCTTCCTTTTTTTTTTAAACATGCCAAGGACCTTTCCTTACTTAGGGCCTTTACATGTCCTGTGCTTGAAACACTTCTTCCCAAGAACTCATTGAGTTACTAGGTTCTTCCCATATTTTAGGCCCCAGCTTTAATATCATATATTCCAAATTTAGCAGCTTAATATAACACACATTTATTATTTCATTGTATTTGTGAGTTATTTCAGGTGTGGCTTAGTTGTATTTTTTTGGCTTGGTTTCTCATGAGATTGTAGTCTAAATGGTGTTGGAGTTGCAGACATCTTAAGGGTTGACAAGTTAGCTCACGCATATGGCTGTTGGCAGGCTGCCTCAGTTCCTTGCCATGTGGGAATCTCCATAGGCTACTTGAGAGTTTTTAGCATGGCAACTGGCTTCTCTCAAAGTGAGTGATCAAGAGAGAGAACAAGGACGAAATCTCAGTGCCTTTTATGACATAGACTCAGGAGTTGCACACTGACACTTCTACCACATTTTGTTTGTTAAAATAAATTATTAGTCATGGAAAACAGTGGTGTAGAGAACACTAAGAATTGGTGCCTTAGTAGAAGGAACCATTAACTTGGCAGAAATTGACAAATGAATTTTTTTTTAGAACACTGCACTCTAACAAAAAAAACAAAGCTTACAGTAACTTAATGAAGAAAGAGGCTGCTAAATTTTGGTAAGAAAGTGCCATGGCATTTTTGCTTATGTGCCTGCCATCCCCTGTTTACTAGCTCAGCAGCAGCGATGGGAACAGTAGTGGAGGTTAGTGGCAAGGAGAAGAGTAAGAACTTTGTTCTAAAAATAAAGTAATACTTTGTGCACTTTGGATGATCTAGAAGCTCTCTCAGATCTACAAAAGCTTGCCCTTGTTATTGTCCCTTTGAGTTGGAGCAGCTTCCTGGAAGGAGTCTATCAAAACATCTAAATCTTCGAGCACTGATAAACAAGTTTGACAGAGTTGCAGGGTACAAGATCAACATACGCACTTATGTTTTTATATACCAGTAGTGAGCAATGCATAAAGGAAATTAAGAAAACAATTTTATTTACAATAGCATCCAAAAGAATGAAATATCTAAGAGTAAATTTAGCTAAGGATATGAAAGACTTGTACAGTGAAAAGTACAAAACATTGCTGAAAGAAATTAAAGAATACCTAAATCAGTGAAGGATATCCCATGTTCATGGATTGGAAGACTTAATATTGTTAAAATGGCAGTATTCCCAGAGCAACTCAAAGAATCATCCAATGCCTATCAAATTCCAGTGGTTTTTTTTTTTTTTTCAAAATGGAAAGTCAATCTTCTAATTCATATGAAACAAGGGGCCCCAATTAGCTAAAACAAAAACAAATATGCAGGACTCACAGAGGTTTTCAAAATCAGCAAGTCCTGATTCATTTTTTTGTTGTTGAATTTTTCTGTCTTACGTTTTTCCTCTCTCTCCTACATTCCATGGTGAAAACGTATCACAGCTTTTTTAAGCCATTCATCTACTGATGGGCACTTGGGCTATTTCAAAGTGCATCCAGCTTCTGCCAACTGCCTATTCCAAAGTCATCCCATTGTTTTAGGTCTGTGTTACTTGAACCTGTGCATATTTAAGGTGAGGGGAGTTAGGTTTCTTCTTTTGAGGGGAGGACTTCAAAATACTGTGGGCAAATTTAAAAGTCCTATTAGGCTTTTATAATTTTTATCTTATTTTAAATAAGCATTTATTCTCAGAAACCAAGCTAGTGTTTCTTGGTAGAACAATTATGTTGTTTTCAATTGAAATAGTAAGAAGAAAAAATAAAAGTCTTGTTAGAGTCACTCTTTAGCAATATTTATATGCTTCACTTTGAGAGTGTTTGGGGAGGGAAAACCATAAATCAATGGGTTCAATCTTTCATTTGTCATTTGGAAATGGAAACTCGTGCTTATTTGTCATTTCTTGGGTGTTCTAAATTATAATTTTAAATATTGAATTTTTAATGCGATGATACTTAATATATCTTTATAATATAAAATTATAAAATTTTACAAATAAATTAATAAAACTCATCATATATTTATAATGATTATGAAATTCTTGAGTACTCATAAATTAGCATAATTCACAAAAAACTATAGTCTTTAATTCTGAATAATTTATAAATCAAAGTGATCTAAGAAGGGAAGGGAAAACTTAAAAAAGATAACATTACAAAAAATCAAGGCAATTTAAGGCAAGTCACACCAAATTAGTAGTATAAGAATAGAAGTAAATGGGTATTTCTCTTTTTGTGATCCACTGTGTCTTTTATAAAATAATTTTCTTTAGGGTGGAACAAAGGTCCAGTCTTAGACCCTCTACCATATGAGAACAGGTGTGGAATTATGAGCCATTATCTGATGGATTCTCTGCTTGCCTTGACATCTGTATCTTTGAAGTCAGGGTTGTTGCTTTGCAGTCTTGCCTTGTTTTCATTTATAATTCATCTTGGTTATGTTTGGCCCATAAAACTTGTTTTTTTGGAGGGGAAATTTGCTCCAATTTGGGTTTCATTTGGCCAAATCTGGTAGATATGGTACTGGAGACTTGCTATCCTTTAGGCTCTGAAAAAAATTGAGTGGATATTTTGACATCCTACTTGTTTTCACTGAGATTTATTCCCATTCTTCCCTTCCTTCCTCTTTTTTTTTTTTTTTTTAAATGTATATTTATTGATTTCAGAGAGGAAAGAAGAGGGAGAGACAGAGAGAGCTAGAAGCATCAATGATGAGAGAGAATCATTGATTGTCTGCCTTTTGCATACTCCACACTGGAGATTGAGCCCTGACTGAGAATCGAACCACAGCCCTCCAATTCATAGGTCAAAGCTCAACCACTGAGCCATGCTTTTCTTCCTTTTTGATTATTTCGAAGATGAATGATCTTTTCAGCATCGTGCAAGATCTGTGGTTCCAAGTTTTACTTCCACATTTTTTTTTTTTTTTAGTCCAGAGAATCTGTATTCTTTGATAGCCTTTATAGCAACTGTCGTTAGTCTTGACCCATGGGTTGGTCTTTGTCCATTGACTGGGCTAACTGACTTGTGAACCTCACTGTAAAAGATGTTAGGATTCACTGCTTTGCAGCCTGAATTTGCTTGCCACTTATGGAGGCAGTTTGTCATTGGACTACTGAAAAATTTGAAATAATGTAGATCAATTTTCCCCCCTGATTTCAAAAGTCTAGATCTGTAAAATTCACCATATTGAGTTGCTGCATTATCAGAGATTTATATTTGATATTCAGTATTAACTCTTGAGCCCATTGTAGTCCTGCCTTTTCCATTTTGAGTGAGTGTAATTTTAAGAGAATTTGTGGGTTACACCAATATCCACTTATAAATTTTCCAAATTGAATTTAATTTCACATAGTTCAGCTTATTAAAGTTGGAGAAAAATGTGTGGCCTAAAATTAAATTGACATTTCCATCAACTCTCAGTTTGACTTTTGAAAAGGAAAGTTATTTTGTTTCAAGTTATATTGTTTTTAAAAAGTGTATGCTATACACCTGTGTCCTGGGTAACTATTATAAACAAACCTCTTAAATATTTTTTTTATTCAAGAAAAGTTCAGGACATGATTGAAAATAGTGCCTTATGAATTTGATTTTTATACTTATTACAGAAAAAGCTTGTCTGGTGAGAATACATCTTGACAAACTAACATGTTTTGATAGGTGCTGAGGTAATTGTATAGACTTTTAAAATTAAACAAATTGCAAACAGAGATTTCTGCAGCAGGTTAATCTTAGTATCAAGCTTTTTGTGTTAGTTTAAGCATTGCTAAACATGACAAAGGTCGTCTTTCTTTTGGCATTTCTGAGCATGTGATATAAATTTTGTGCTGAGATGGGTCAACTGTATTACCTAGTAAGAAATAATTTGTTTCCTGGGTATTAGTGTAAGACATTCCTACTTTTTAGTGTGAGTCGATGAAGTAACACAACTATATTTGTTCATATTTACTGTAAATGCCCAAGTTGCTTATAGAAAGTCCATTTTTTAAAGAGTGTCTACTAACAGAATTGGTCTTTCTACTGAATACAACTTTTTAAAATAAGTACAATTTTGTTGTTGCCAAGGAGCATTCATAGCAGGGTATAAAGCAAATCTGTGTGAATTCTTTCTGCAATATAGAACTTTTTTTTTTTTTTTTTTTTACAAAATTAAATATTTATTGT